TGTTCTTGCACAACTTCTACATGATCCATCAATGTAATACACACTGTGCCGCTTCGCATTCTTTGATAATTTCGTCACTCTCTTAATGAAAGATTTTGATTTGTATTATTTATTTTTTCTTTTAGAATAAAAAAATAAATATCGTCAAAATCGAATAAATCAATCAAAAACTTTAATATAATTTCTATTCTATCCGTATAACTTGACGCCACGCGCCTCCAATACGCTAAGAGCTTTAGGATGCTCTTTTATAGCCGCCAACCTAATATAACTTTCACCCTCTTCCTCATCTTTCTTAACATTAAGTTTTCCGTTCAATAGCACATCTCCCAAATTATATTGTGCTGCCGGATTTCCATTATCAGCTGCCAATCGCAAATATTTTAAAAATTCATCTTGATTATATTTCACGCCTTCACTATTCATTATACAAAAGGCATATCGAAGCTGTGCTTCGGAGAGACCATCGTCAGCTGCTTGTTTGAATAGACGAGCGGCTTCCTTGAAATCCTTTTTTCCTTCTAACCCGTCCCATAGATAATATCCTTGCCAATATATTGCTTTGCTATTTTTTATTTTGGCATGTCCCTCAAAACATTCCCAAGCGGTTTTGAAATCGTGTTCTTTATATGCTTTTATTCCATCCTCGAGTGGTATTAATGGTTTAATTGGAATTTCTATTTCGTTGAAATTAAACTCGGGAAGATCATCTGGATTAACCTCGATACTAGGCGTGTTATGCTGTGAAGGGAGAGATATCGAATCCAAAGAGGAACTATCAACCGAATCTTTACGTGGAGACAACCCAGGGCTTTTTCCTAACCAAATCTCATTTATTTTATTTAATTTCAAGAATATATCTTGGAGGGTGGGACGTATATATGGGTTTCCTGCCCAAGCTGAAATAAAAAGATAAGAAAATTAGCTACAAGAATTTTCATCATAAAATATGTAATAATATATAACCTTCTTTAATCAATTTCGCATATTCAATCTGAATTCCCGATGGGCAAAGGCCAAAGTTTATTGTTTCTCGATCTCCTTTTTCGACGTGTTCTTTAATTTCTTTAATATTCATGTTTTCATAGGGTTTTTTCGCATGACCCAATTCCCAGAGTAACATTCCATAACTATCAAATTAACTTGATGAATGCAAAATCATCCAAGAATATTCAAGATAGAAAAGATTCTAACCTAAAGATATCACATTGTGTCGTGTATGGTTTATACGGTTTATTAGAAAATTTCTCTGGTGCTAGCCAATGAACGATCTCAATAATATTACTCTTTATATCCCTAGTTGGGCCCTCTTTAAGGCGGCTAAGATGAAAATTGGCAATTTTTGCTTCGAGACGATCGGTTAACTATAATTAATTAATTGATATTAATCATTCAATTAGATAAAAACTTTTATTAGGTTCAAGCAAACACTAACCAAAATATTTTCGCATCTAATATCATGATGCAAAATATCCACCGCATGCAAGAAAGTAAGTCCACGACAAATATCAATTGCAATTTGTATTTTCCTCGGCCAATCAATATCATTTTTCATATAAAGACCTCGAAGATTTCCATATTCCGCCCATTCCATAACCTTCACATCTTGATCATCTATTCTTGAGAGTCCATAAAACTTAATAATATTTCGTCCTTCTTGTAATCTTCCTAATAATGCGAGTTCAGTTTCAATACTATATGGACTATGTGTTTTATCCGCCTCTTTCATTTCAGTATTTTTAGAAAGTTTAATGGGTTTTATTGCAACATCTAATCCTTTCCACATTCTCTTTTCTACGGAACCTGTGTCTCTATTTTGTGGTGGTAATAATGGGAACTTGATTTCAGATGAAGGTATTTGTGTTGGTTTCATTTCTTGTTCTGATTTTTCAATTTTTGCTTTCACTAAGGAGATTTCTTCTAGCGCTATATTAATTTTTTTATCCTGATTTGTAAGACCTCCCTCGATATTCGCCAAGTACTACATTATAATATTGTCTTATTAAAACTAAATTGATCTATCTAAAATTACCTCAAAATGAATATAAACATACCAGTTTCATTTCTGCTAAGTCTTCTTCCAATGCTACTTGATCAATACGTCGTTGATCGTCAGAAGCAATCGCAATGGCCAAATTTAAATCCGATACAACCTGATCAAATTCCGTAATAAGATCATTAAATCTATCCTTTACCGAATTAGCCCGTGTAAATTTACGATACCCTTTGAGCTGCGACACATCCTTGATGAATTTCTTGATTTTCTCTAAAACTTGCAGAAACCGGTTAAATGATTCATAATATGCTTGATTTCGAAATTTTTTTTCATTCTCTTTTTGCCGGCGTTGTAATGCTTTAACAGCAAATTGTGCGGCTTCTACACGATCCATTAATGCGTTACATATTTTTTTGTTGTACTGTGCTGCTTCATATACTTTGATAATCTCATCGATGATTATCGTTACTGCGCCTAGTAACGGTATGAAAGGCTTTACAGCTTCCCCAGCAGTACCTATACCTTCCATTACTTGTTTTATAGTTACTGCATCGCTTCCTTTTGACATGTTGTTTACAGAGTCAACTACGTCTATGGTACCGCTCACAGCACCTGGTACGCTAAGAACTATTTTTTCGGCAGTGCTCATGGAGAATAAGCATACATAAAGACAATAAAACAGTTACAATACCAGTATAAGAAAACAAATGGCTATATATATATATATATATATCAAAAGGAGAATTAAGAGTCATGAAACTCTCATTTGTGTGTATATTTAAAGAATTGAACTTTCGGAGAAAAGTGCAAGTATGTCCTTTGTCATTCATACCCATATATTATCTCGAGTTAGACAAGAAAGATTTGTGAAAAAAAACCAATGTTAATCATGCTTTTAAAAAAGGACTATGATTAATCAGATTCGCGACAGTAAACAATTTTTAAGCATGGGAAAATGATCATTTTTAGCCAGATGATGATAATTTTTCAAATTAAGTAATCATAATAAATGAAAGATCCAATCAAGTTTGGGTATTCAAATTTACATTTAGTAAATAGTTAATTTTGAAATACTTAATAAACTTTGAAAATTGTTAAAATAATTTAAAGGAATAAATATGGACGTGCCAATATGCTAGTTTTTTATTTTATTTTATTTTTTAGCGTTTCTGCGTAATATGCTGACTTATACAAGAGATTGAGGACAGCAAATATAAGTATAAAAATTCTCTATAATTTTAATTATTCGAAATAACAATTCTAATTACACTTTACGCGAAGAAGGATATACTGTAGGCATACCCGGGTCTAAATCATGGGGTACTATTTTATGGATCTGTATTCAGTGGCCTACGATATTGTACTGACATTGCTGCTTCAAGCAAGTGGGTCTTGCGAATTTGTAAAAGAAACCGGAAATTTCGATTCGATAAGACATTTTTTAATAGTGTCCAAGCTAGATTTTGATGTCTGTTTCCGTATTTTGCTTTTTCATTTTCTTGCGCTGGTTTTTGTTGTGCATCCTTATTGGTCTGTGAAGTGCATGTGATCAGGAACCGAGATTCTATAGGAAAATCGATTATAATGTTAGTTCGTTGGTTTTTTTATTAGATGCCGAATTGATTCAAAGCATGAAAGGGGGTGTGTGTGTATTTATGAAAACAGGCATTTTGTATTCATGCTGTATCTCTTCTGGAAAGTCGAGCTGCTTTTATAGCTCGCTCTGACCGAAGCCGATCGCCGTATGAGTTGTTTTGCCAGTAATAATACTGCACATTTTTTATATTTTATTATTTTGTTTTCATTCGAATCAAAGCATGAGGGGGGTATATGCTCGCGTAGAAGGGAAAATTTGTTTTTGATATATATGAAGCTTGTATTAAGCTTTGCAACTGTTTTATTATATAAATTTTCTTCATATGTTTATTGCCATGAGTAATGCCGAGAAAGTTGCTGTGAGCGACACCATAGATGTTGATTCCTTCACAAGGAAGCAATGCAGAAACTCTAAAGCAAGAGTCGATGATAGTGCTAGCGGAGAATCCGCCGTTACTAACCGCAGTAACGTTAGAGATTGACGAAATTATCAAAGAATGCGAAGCGGCACAGTGTGTATTACATTGATGGATCATGTAGAAGTTGTGCAAGAACA